CAACTGATTGCCCTCTGGGTGGATGCCAGCCTTGTCGAAGTGAGGGAGTCCGACGTGTGGAACCTAGACCCGGGAGTAACCTAGGAATAAAATGGGGGGGTTTAGGGTTTAGGGTTTAGGGTTTAGGGTTTAGGGTTTAGGGTTTAGGGTTTAGGGTTTAGGTTAGGGTACCCTTGTTGGCTTTAAGGGGATTACAAGGGAACCCCAACCCTAAAACAAAAAAGGAAAAAAGGGCCTACTCCCGGTCCGAGGAACGATGAGCTGCCCACTTGGAGAAACGCACATGGCCCGAACCTTCGGGATGTTCCCCACGTAAGCTAGCAGTCCTTAATAGGAATTATACTACCCCCTCTTAAACTCCCATGTATAAATAGGGAGTTGAATAAGGGGGTAGTAGAATCCCTACTAAGGACTGTCAGTAGGTCAGTCTAGGGACTGTTAGAAAATAAGGAGAAACACACATGCCCTAAACCCTAAACCCTAAACCCTAAACCCGAAACCCGAAACCCGAAACCCTAAGCCCCGAACCTGTCGGCTGCACATGCTCGTAGCCGCGATGGCAAATGCATCCAGCAAGAAGGCCGTCGTCTCCAAGATAAACTTCTTCTCCATGGCCCATCGTCTTAGGGTTTAGGTTTTAGGGTTTAGGGCTTGGGGTTTAGGGCGAGCACTGTGGCTTGAGCCTAGTGGAGAAAGCCACCACTGATTCAGAGCCCTTTTAGCTGCAGAACATGGAAGCTTCGGGACCCGAACCCGGAAAAGCCCAAACCCTAAACCCCAAGCCCCAAGCCCCAAACCCAAAACGATCCGCAAGGCCGAGTGTTGGAGTTTAGGGTTTAGGGTTTGGGATTTACGGTTTGGGGTTTAGGGTTTAGGAATTTAGGAATCTTGCGCAAAGCACATCAGCTGCACGCAACAGAATTAGGACATCAGGCACCTTCCGATGCCCCTGGTCATACCCGACTTTCGAAAGGGAGCCTAACTCCCTGACGCCCTATGAAGAACCAGCCAGACCAGAATCCCAACCCTAAACCCTAAACCCAAGCCCTAAACCCCTAAACCCCTAAACCCTAAACCCTAAACCCCAAGCGCTGCCCTGGCCTAGGATGCATGCGCGGACTTGATGTTGCTTTCCAGCACTCCAGAAGATGGATCCGCAAAGCCTATCCAGGGATTTCAGGGTGTAGGGTTTAGGGTTTAAGGTTTAGGGTTTCGGGCTACAAAGCATACAAGTCTAGGGATTTTGCCTTGGCCTTAAGGGTGGTACGCATTAGATGGGTTGTGGGGACCTTTGGAGTATATTAAGGGGGAACCTTTAGGGGTACAACCTTCGCGGGCCCTTGAAAGGTGGCGCCACCCCTAACCCTGAACATGGTTTAGGGTTTGGGGTTTAAGGTTTAGGCCTAAGGGTAGTTATACCCTACACCCTAGATACACTTAGCATGATTCGCGCTCTTAGCTGATCTAGAGGCAAGATCAAGCTTTTCTTAAAACAAGAAACCGTTGAAATCCCAAACCCGAAGGGGGGTTAGGGTTTAGGGTCTATGCGTTCCTTTCTGAGGGGTCCTTGTCGCAGACCCGAATTTTATCTTTTGGAGGCTCCCATGGGATAGGATTTAGGGTGCAACTGGGCTAACCTGAAGGGCTTAAACCCAAAGCTGAAGGGCGTAGGGCCGAGGGTTTAGGGTTTAGGGCTTGGGGTTTAGGGTTTAGGGTTTGGGGTTCGGGGTTTAGGGTTTAGGGTCCCTTAAACCCTAAACCCCACAACCTCCCACACCGTCTCAAGAACTCCCTGCCGTCGAGCCACACGCGCGCAGCCGATCCACGATCCAGGCATGGTCGATGCCCTGCCGCTTTTCAAGGGATTCAGGGATTTAGGGTTTAGGGTTTGGGGTAGTTTGCCCCTTGTCCTCCAAGGGATTTGGGGATTCAGGGTTTAGGGTTAAGGGATTAAGACTTGTACCACGAAGGTTGTACCCCTAAAAAGGTCACCCGTAATATATGCCCCTGATAGAGCCCGGATTCAGATGCATAGTGTGGATCTTGAAAAAAAGGGTCCCGAATAGACCCAAAGGTTCGCCGGCAGGGTAGCGATGTCGGCGATACCTCCTTTTAAGCCCTATGGGCCATCCTTACCCTTCTAACCTTACCCTAAACCCTTCAGCCTTTGAACTGTAACCCCCCATAATCTAAAGGTAGTTTCATGGGCCCTTAGCATGGTCACTTAAGACTTGCCTTCTTTACATGGTTCCGAAGTATGGTCCCTTGCCTTCGCTACAGTGGTCTGAAGTATGGGCCCTTGGGTTGTTTTCGGTATAGAAAGGGCATATCAGCGCTCCCCTTTTCAGGACCCATGTTAAGGGACCAACCCTCGACTCGCATCCTTTTGCCTTGTAAACCATGCACAGCCACCCTCAACCGCCCGCACAAAACCCCCCAGACCCTAAACCCTCAAAACTCCTGAAGATGGCTACCAGGGGGCCACATGCCTCCGTGAAGACTGAGGGTTCGTCCTCCTTGCTTTCGTGGCTAGAAGAGTACGCTACCCCTAACAAAGGAAATGATGGGTGCCACTGGTTCTTTTGCCCCCCCGCCCTAGAAGCCCTGAGCCCTAAGCCCTAAACCCGAAGGCCGAGGCCCTGAACCCTAAACCCCTCATGCACCCTGAATCCTTTCCAACTCGAGGATTTAGAGCCGAAATGGGGTTTCGGCTTTAGGGTTTAGGGAGTGGAGATACCTGGTAAGCTCTGAACTCCCAGGAGAGGGCAGAGCACCCCTAAACCCTAAACCCCAAACCCTCAACCCTCAACCCTCAACCCTCAACCCTAAACCCTAAACCCTAAACCCTAAACCCTAAACCCTCCCCCCTTCCCAACCTTCCCGATGAAGACTGCCTTGCTCTCCTGAGGTCTTTTGGGGTTTTGGGGCTTTGTCTAAGGTCGGAATCATGGGCCCTTAGCGTGGGGTTTAGGGTTTAGGGTTTAGGGTTTAGGGTTTAGGGTTTAGGGTTTAGGGTTTAGGGTTTAGGGTCTAGGGTTTAGGGTTTAGGGTTTGGTCCCTTACCCTTGTTTATAGGGATCCGAATGTTTCTATGTGCAGTGTACATAAGGGTTATATAACAAGGGACCCAAATTGAGGGCCCACACTTGGGACCATAGACTTTGGGGGGTGGGTTAGTTAGGGGTTTAGGGTTTAGGGTTTAGGGTTTAGGGTTTAGGGTTTAGGGTTTAGGGTTTAGGGTTTAGGTTTAGGGTTTAGGGTTTAGGGTTTAGGGTTTAGGTTTAGGGTTTAGGGTTTAGGGTTTAGGGTTTAGGGTTTAGGGTTTAGGGTTTAGGGTTTAGGGTTTAGGGTTCAGGGTTCAGGGTTCAGGGCTTCGGCTGGCAGAATCCGACGACGCGCGCACGAGTTCGAGTCAAATGCCTAGGAGTTTTGGTTTCGGGCTTAGGGTTTCGGGTTTCGGGTTTAGGGTTGAGGGTTTGGGGTTTAGCGTTTAGGGTTTAAGGTTTAGGGGTTAGGGTGTTCCCCCACCCCCCCGGTCTCGCGATGCCACATGTGCGCTGCCGACGAGGAAGCTGGCGAAGGTGGCGACGGGGACTACTGCAACCCATCAGCTAGAGAAACCATATTATACCCCTAAACCCTAAACCCTAAACCCTAGACCCTAGAATAAGGGTACAGTACCCTTTTGGGGTTGGTTACTTTAGAAGGCAACCTTGAAACAACGGCACACACTACCATGTGCCGTTTGCAACCCTGAGCTCTAAACCCTAAATCCTAGAACTGTGGCGGGTTTAGGGTTTAGGGTTTAGGGTTTAGGGTTTAGGGTTTAGGGTTTAGGGTTTAGGGTTCATGTAGTCCGAAATCCCATACCCTCAACTCCGACCTTTCCGACCTGCCTCTAAATAAAAACACAAGTTACAAGCCCTGCTCTCAGGAAACCAAATCGCTACTTCGCGGTACTGTCATCACCCCCCCCCCCCCCCCCCCGCCTACCTCATCAGATACCCTAAACCCTGCACCCTAAACACAAGAAGCCGGGCTTTGGGGTCTCAAGTTGAAATCTTAAATCCCAAACACCAAAAACAATCCCTCAAGCCAAACGCCCTAAGCCCTAAACCCTAAGCCCCGTATCTCTACCCTCTGACACTAAGACCCTATGAACCCGCCAGCGAGCAGACCCTAAATCAAAACCCAGACCCTCAAAGCCCGGGTTCGGGATTCGGGTTTAGGGTTGAGGGTTGAGGGTTTTGGGTTTAGGTCTCAAAAAGCCTTCTCAAAGCCCCATTAGCTCCACGGAAGCCCCCCAAAGAAGCGCTCGCAAATTAGAATAGGGTTTCGGGGTTTAGTATAGTAGAATTATAAAGGGACTATTAGTGTTTCTTCCGACCCCTAAACTTTGGATGTTCCCCCTTATACTAGCAGTCCTTAAGAGGAATTATCGTACCCCCTATTACAATCCCTGTTCAGGACCGTTAGTTTAGGGGAGGGGATAGGATTGGGGGGACCCTTGGGGATATAGACCCTCTGAATGTGGTCCCTGTTTAAGAGAGCCAGAAGAGGTTTCAGAAGGGCTCCCCTTTAAGGGTCCCCCTAATCCTACCTAGGAATTAGGGGGGGGGGGGGGGGCAACATCCCAACTCCTAATTTGCTTGCACCCAGGTGGCGCGGCCATCAGAAGGCCATGGCCCCTGTGGCATGCCACCAAAGTGACAGTTCACCTGGGACTTGGTTGCCCAGGAGTCATATTCTGTTGAGCAACGATGGGTTTAGGGTTTAGGGTTTAGGGTTTCGGGTTTAGGATTTGGGGTTGTTACATGGTTCCTTGATATGGTCCCTTAGCTTCTTTAAAGGGTTCTGAAGTATGGGCCCTTGGGTTTCATAGGGCACGCTTGGCCGCAACACCAAAGCCCGAAAGCCTAAACCCAACACCTGAAACCTATAAACCAAAAAACCTACACCGCTGGACCCTAAAGCCGATAAACCCTCAAACTCACAAACCC